CTCTTTTCTTCTTTTTTGTTGCTTGATTTAGGGTTTATTTTATATATATTTTAACTTATCACAGTCTAACTTCAATTAATATTACAGTATTCTCCCCTTATTTGTTGGAGATACGTTCTAAGACCCCCAGTGCATGCCTGATACAGCAAATACTACTGAACCCCATATATATTATGTTTTTTCTTGTATATAACATACCTTTTCACTTAAGGGAAGCACTTTACGGCTTCTCTTTGGCATATATGAATTGCCAGTATTACTAACTCTGTGCTTTGTGGCCATTATTAAGTAAAATGAGTGTTACTTGAACACGAGCACTGCGCTGTCATGACAGCTGATCTGAGAACAGAGAGGACTACTAAGTGACTAATGGGCGGGTAGCATATAAAGTGTGGATACGCTGGACAAAGGGATGCTTCATGTCCTGGGCAGGACAGAGCAGGATGGTGTGAGATTTCGTCATACTACACTACTCAGAACAGTGTGCAATTTAAAACTTATGGATTGTTTATTTCTGGAGTTTTTAACTTAGTATTTTTGGACCACTGTTGACTATGGGTTACTGAAACTGCAGAAGGGGAAACCTCAGATGGGGGGGCTACTGTATATGACTTCATGTATAGCATAACACATAAAACTCTCTACACTTCCTTTCCCTTATCTCTGCCTTCGTGCTGCTGTTACCATATGTTTTACTTCTGCATACGTTATCAACCCCAAAGTACATTATTATTACATTAAATATTCTTTTTAAAAAATTGTTTTTCAGTTTTTTTTATCATGGTAAAATAGCATAAAATTTACCATTTTAATCCTTTAAGTAAACAGTTCAGTGGTATTAAATACATTTATAATGTGCAACTGTCACCACCATACAAATATGTATGTACAACTTTTTTTCTTGTAAAACTGAAAGTCAATACCCATTAAACAGTAACTCCCTTGTCTTCCTTCCTCCTAGCTCACCACTACTCTGCTTTCTGTCTCTGATTTTGAAAAAGCCTCTTTTAAAGACATTTTAAAAATAAGAAAAAGTAATTTCTGTCTAACCACATTTTTACCATTTCTGGGGCTCTTTATTCCTTTATATAAATCTGGATTTTCTTCTGATACCATTTTTCTTCTGCCTGAAGGACTTCCATTAACTTTTCTTGTAGTAGTTTTAGGTCTTCTGGGAATGAATTCTTTCAGGTTTTTTTTTTTTTTATTAAAATAGAATTCATGTACTATAAAATTAACATTTTAAAGTGTAAAATTCAGTGGTTTTAGTATATTTACAGGATTGTGCAACCATCGCCATTGTCTAGAGCATTTTATCATCTCAAAAGGAGACCTGTACCCATTAGCAATCACTCCCCCAGCCCCTGACTTTTACTTAGCATGTTTTCAAGGTTCATCTCTGTTGTATCATGAATCAGTGTATCATTCCTCTTTATAATGTTCCATTGTATGAATATACCATATTTTGTTTATCCATTCATCAGTTGATAAACATTTGGGTTGTTTTCACTTTTTGACTATTCTGAATAATTCTGCTATGACCATTCATGTACAAGTTTTTGTGTGGATTTATGTTCTCAGTTCTCTTGGGTCTATTCCTTGGGTCTATTCCTGGGTGTTATAGTAATTTTATGTTTAACTTTTTGAACAGCTGTGGCTATACCATTTTATTCCTGTCAGCAATCTATGAGGCGTCTGGTTTCCCCACATTCTTGTCAACATTTCTTTTTTCTTTTTTTTTTTTAAATAGCTATCCTATTAGATGTGAATGAAGTGGTATCTTATTGTGGTTTTGATTGGCATTTCTGTAATGACTAGTAATGTTGAATATCTTTTCATGTGGTTATTGGCCATTTATAGTGGTTGATTTAGGGTTTATTGCATACATCTTTATCACAGATTTTTTCTTTAGGAGAAATGTCTATTCTTTGTACATTTTAAATTGCTTATGTCTTTTTATCATTGAGTTCTATTAATATCATATATTATAATTCATATGTTAAACCATCCGTTCATTTCTAGGATAAATTTTAGTTGTAGCGTATAATCTTTTTTAATATGATTCTTGATTTGCTTTGCTGGTATTTTGTTGAGGTATTTTGCATCAATATTCATACAGGATATTAGTTTGAGTTTTCTTATGCTGTCTTTTTTCTGGTGTTGGTATCAGGGTAATTCTAACTTCATAAAATGAGTTAGAAAGTGTCTGGATGAGTTTGTGAAAGCTAGACATCATAGACATTGTTAATTTTGTGAAGAATAGACATTTTAATTCTCCTCTTAAACATTAGCTAAAATTCACGAGCGAAGCCATTTGGTCCTGGGTTTTTCTTTGTGGGAAGTTTTCTGATTATTAATTTATTCTCTTATTATAGGTCCATCCATATTTTTTTTTTTCTTGAGTCAGTTTTGGTAGTGTTGTCTTTCTAGGAATTTTTCTCTTTCATTAAGGTTATCTAATGTGTTGGCATACAGTTGTTCATAGTATTTGCTTATAATCCTTTTGTTTTATTGAGGTTGGTCATACTATCCCTTCTTTTATTCCTGATTTAAGTAATTTGAGTCATTTTGCTCTCATTTTCTTGGTGAGTCTAAATAAAGTTTATAAATTTTGTTAGTCTTTTTCAAAGAACCAACTTTAGGTTTCACTCATTTTTCTGTCCTTCCCCCCCCTCCCCGCCCCATAGTCTATTTCTGTTTTTTTTTTCCCCCTGTTTTATTCTTTATTATTTCCTTCTTTCTGCTTGCTTCAGGTTTAGTTTGCTCTTCTTGTTTCTTAGAATGGAAAGTTAGGTTATTGATTTGAGAATTTCTATTTTATAGAAATAAAGTCTCCTCTAAGCACTGTTTTCTTTGCATCCCATAGATTTAATATGCGGTGTTTTCATTTCATTCATCTCAAAGTATTCTCTAATTTCTCTTTAATCATTTCTTTGATCCATTGTTTTTTAGGAATTTGTTGTTTAATTTTTAAATATTGAATTTTCCAAACTTCCTTCTGTTACTGATTTCTAATTTCACTTCATGTGATTAGATAGCATTATATGATTTCAACCCTTTTAAATTGTTTGAGGCTTGGTTCAATGGCCTGACATGGTTTGTTCTGGAGAATGTTCCATGTACACTTGAGACTGTATGTACTGTTGACTGGAGTGTTCTGTAAGTGTCTGTTAGGTTTAGTTGGCTGTTGGTGTTGTTTAAGCCTTCTTTTTCCCTGCTGATCTTTAGTCTAGATGTTCTATCTATTTTTGAAAGTTAGGTATTGAAGTCTCTAATTCTTTCAGTTTTATGTATCTGAAAGCGTCTATTTTATTTTTCTTTTTGAAAGATATTTTTGATGGGTATAGAATTCTAGGTGACAGTTTTCTTACAATACTTTAAGTCACTGTTCTACTATCTTCTCCCTTGTGTTGTTTCTATTAAGAGTTTCTTTTACCACTGCTTTTGATCAGTTTGTTTATGATGTGCTTTGGTAGAATTTTCTTCATGTTAATTTAGCTTCTTGGATCTCTGGGTTTACACTTTGCAGCAAATTTGTACAATTTTTTCTATTATTTCTTCAAGTACTTTTTCTGTCTTGCTTTCCCCTCAGTCTCTCAGGAATTCTTGTTATATATATTCAACTATGTGACATTGTCCCACAGCTCACTGATGTTCTGTTAATTTCTTTTAAAATGTTTTTTAAATTTCATTTTGGATAGTTTGTGTTGCTGTAGTCACTAAATTTTTTTTCTGCAGGTGTTTAATTTGCTGCTAATCTCATTTGGTGTATTTTTCACCGTAGACATTGTTTTATTGTATCTCTAGAAGTTTGATTCAGGTCTTTTTTGTATCTCTTTAATGTGTTTATACTTTATCTACTCTAGACCATACAGAATATGGTAAGAATAACTGTTTAATGTCCTTGTCTACTAATTCTACCAATCTGTTATTTCTGAGTGTGTTTTTGTAGATTGATTTTTCTAATTATAGATTATATTTTCTTCTTTGCATGCCTAGTATTTTTTGATTGGATGGCATATGCTGCAAATTTTACATTGTTGGATACAGCATGTATTTTGTATGCAAAGCCTTTAAATATTCTTAAGTTTGTTTTAGATCAGTTACTTGCAAACAGTTGGATCTTTATGAGGCTTGTGTTTAAGCTCTGTTAGGCAGGACCACAGCACCCTTTAACCTAAGGATAATTTTGCTGCACTACTGAGGCAATACTCTTCTGGGTTCTCTGACCATGCTCCATGTATGTCCAAGTTTTTATACCTTTATATATCCAAAGTTATATACTTTACATATTAAGGGGTTGCAATTGGTGAATTACCACCCATCTTTTTAGCTGTGCCAGTTAGGTTACATTGGATTATACATAGCTTTTTCTAGTTGTGTTGGGATGATTAGGCTTCAGGATTCAGTAAGTAAGGATGAGGGGAAGCTCTTCCTATGCATATTATCCATAACATTGCCAAGTAAGTTAACAACTGTCTTACTGAAACTGGGGCCACAAAATCCTGAAAAGATTCTGCTAAGCAGGTTCTGCTAACTAAATTGATTGAATGGAAGATATTAAGATATATAAAATATCACCAATACCATCTGTTTAATTTTAATGGAATTATACTGTTTATTTTTAAAGCTAGCCCAAATGAAATAATAAAACCCACACGAAAATACAGGCCAATATATTTTAAGAATATGATTGCTAAAATCCATAAAGTAAAATATTAGCAAGTTAACTCTAGTACTGTACTATAATGTTAGATAACATTTTTTATGTGGCATATCCAGGTGCCCAGTATATACCAGCCAGTATTTTAGGCACCAGGGATACAACAGAGACCAACATAAGCAAAAGTTCTCATAAATTTTATGTTTGACCTCATTAAGCTAGTATCATAGTTGGAGGAGGCAGACAGTAAGCCAAGGTGTATACTATATTAGAAGTGGTAAGTTCTGTGGAGAAAAGTAAAGGGAAGGTAGATAGGGACTACTAATGGGTGAGATGGTAGGGCTGCAGTTTTAAATAGGTTGGTTCCGATAAACCTGGAGAAACTGACATTTCAACAAAGACTGGGAGTGAGTGAGTCAGTGGATATCTGTGAAGGAGTGCATGTTCCCAAGAGAGGGAGCCATAAGTGCCAAGGCTTGAAGTATCAACAACTAAGAGTATATAAGAGTAATGAAAAGATGTTCCCTACTAGATCTTAAAATGTACTTTTAATTTTCCATAATTAAACAATATGTTCATGATGAAAAATATTGAAAAAAATTTGGAAAAAACAAAACCCTGAAGCTAGTGTACATTAGAACTTAACCTATGATAAAAGAAGCATCAGACACCAGCAGGAAAGGGGTAGGTGGTTCAGTAAATGGTGCCAGAAAACTGACAGTTTTGCAGGAATTGTAAGGGAAGGGGAGAGGGCATCTTATCAGACATTAAAAATTCAAAGTGTATTAAAAAGTGAAAACTATGAAATTAAAGAAATCTGAACATGTAACTGATCTCTTTAAGGACTGCTTTAAGCAAAAAGACAGTAGAAGAAATTGCTTTAGGAAAGATCTCTAGTTTGACAATAAAGTTTTTGTTTTGTCAAATATAATCTTAGAAGGTAAACAAAAAAAAGTTGAAAAATATTTGTAATGAATAATTGACAGCAGGTTAAAAATCAACAAAAGAAAATCTAATAGGAAAAAAATCCCTAAAAAGATAAATTTCCAATAAATAATATCAGCAAACATTTATTGAAATACAGTGATCCTTGTGATGTGTTAACTCATTTATTTCTCATTATACAGTTGGTCTAATTATAGCCTCAATTTATAGATGAGACTGAAGCACACCAAATATAAAGTGTTTCCTAGGGTCATACAGTTACCAAGTGAAGGACATAGATTTGAACCTAGGCAGCGGGTCTAGCTGCAGAATCCCACTCTTAACCACTGCTTTGGACAGCTACACATGGAAACATGTTTACTCTTACTAGTGAAGCAATGTACATTATTTTTGTGTATGTATCAAGGCTTTCAGAGGTTCTTCCTGATAATGGATCCTCCAGGCATTTTTCCCTTTGCTTTAATTTGCTCAACTGCAAAGCATGCTACTATGTAGTCTTTAGAAATTGGAGACAGACTACTGTCTATGTTCTTTGAATTGATACTCTCGTAATAACACACACACACACTTTTTCTTCTATTCATTGTCAGGCACTTAACCTTGACTCATCTACATCCTTGCCCCACTTACAATTTTATCTACTTATGATTCTTTCAACCTAATCTTGACCTCATATCCCAATCAAGAGGGTATTCATCCTTTGTGGCTAATTCTTGATCCTGTTTGCTCTGTTGAAGATCTCGTTTACCTGGACATGGACTATTTCTGAGATCAAATCTTGGAATTGAATTTACCCTCTCCACGACCCTGAGGCTTTGCCTGTTGCAAATGTGGGTTAATTTTCTGTCAAAATAAAGATGAATTGGCACCAGTTCCGTAATGGAGCCTTGCAAAACCCAGGGCTCAGCAGTGCAGAGTCCAGGAACAGTGCACTAGATGAGCCCCTGTGGGTCTGTGTGCTGCCATGCACAGCTGTACCCCAGACCCTTGCCTGAGTAGTGTTGAAATGCAGAAGTGAAAAAGTAGTTTAAATAGGGAGATAAGCGAGTATATGAGTTGTTTCTAAGGATATGAGACTAGGTTTGAAGACTGATTTTATTCAATGAGAGAGAAGAGTGAACTGGGTAATTTGAAGGCACTGTGTTTTAGGGTGTGATCCAGTGACTTGGGGTCAATTGCAGATTCCTGTCCCCTTGAACCTGGTCTCAATACAGAACAGGAAAATTTAGGTAGTGATTTGAACGTGTGGCTGGAGGTGGAGGGAGGGATGAGAAACTAGTTACTTTTTAATCCATTTTTTCCTTTGCATCTTTTGTTTGAGATGACCATTGGAATACAAGTGGATATATCTGTAGACAAATGAAAATAAAATTGTTTTGGAGATATATGTCTGTGCTTCCCTCTGGTAGTGACGGCAGAAATGATGAGAATAGTCTACCGAGAGACAAAGTAAAAAGAAAATCCCTTAGTTTTAGGCACTGGACCTTGGAGATAAAATGAGACAGAGATGGAATAATCAGTGGTGTAAATGGAAGATCAGGATAGTGTATTATTAGGAGTCAAAGAGGCATTGAAGGGTATATTCTATATTGTGTTGCGAGAGGGAAATGAGAACCAAAAAGATACTGATAACCTTGAGAATGCGTTGGTGGTTCCCATTGAGAATGCCATCAATGAAGGAGGCAGTGATATCTATTAAATATCAAGTACTTTTAAAAATAGTGACTCAAACACTGAATGCTCACTAATTCTAATTTCAGTTTATTAAAATTTAATACTAGAGATTTTTAAGCTACAGCAGGGGTCAGCAAACCTTTTCTTTGAAGGGCCTGATGTTTTAGGTTTTGCAGGGCATATGGTCTTTGTTATAACTGCAGCAGAACAAAACTTTCCTCAGACAGTATGTCAGGATATGGGTGTTACAAAAACAGCTGGCGGATTATGGTTTGCCCACCCTTGAGCTAGGGGAACCTCTGCTTTTCAGCATTTTTTCTGTATTAGCTTTTCATTCTTTTTGCTTTGAGATTCAAATTAACATTGGCTAACTTCTTATTAAAATTATTAAAACTAAATATTAGTGATGAAGCCTGAAAAAATCTAGCAGGAATTAGTATTCTATTGATCTATTATAAAATTTAATAAACTTGGCTAAGCATCACCCTCTTCGTGCCCTCTAATGTGAGAAGGTAGAACTGGAAAAGAGACATTTGCCCCCGTGGTGTCCCCCTCCCCCTAGATATAATGACTAGTTCAGTGTGGTTTGAGTTGATTTATTCCCTTTTATTATTCTGCCAGTGTTAATAACAATTTGCTTTTTTTCAGTCTCGGCGAAATCTATGTGAAGAGGCTTTGTTAAAAATTAAAGGTGTTATTAGCTTTACTTTTCAAATGGCTGTTCAAAGATGTGTGGTGCGAATCCGTTCCGATTTGAAAGCAGAGGTTAGTATTTTAAATGGCTGAATATGCTTGAGGTTACAGGTAACAAATCAGTGTTCAAAATTGTCTGTTTTTATCCTGGCCTAGGCTTTGGCATCAGCGATAGCATCAACCAAGGTTATGAAGGCTCAGCAAGTTGTGAAAAGTGAAAGTGGAGAAGAGGTAAAAGCTTTATTTAGTTTTATTTATACCCAACTCCAACTCTCGATTTATTCTCTAGACTAAAAGTTGCCAAGTATATAGGAATGTGGTTGGGTCAGAATATCTTAATGCTTCTTGTTAACAGTCAACTCTTAGACATATAGAGAGCTCTTTTGTGGATTTCACCTTCTTTTTATATCTTATATTTTTGTGAGTTTCAGACTGTTGTTTATTTTAGTGATGTCTTGATGGTATTATATAGAAATAAAAAGGCTTCGTGGTTTCCTTGCATTGGTCTTTAAATGCTTTCTAACCTTAATTAGTTTTGCCAGTCCGGAAAAAAGAAGTCCAATCCCACCATTAGGCAAATATATCCAGTGAAAATCTTTGCCTCTCGCTACTCTTTCCACTAGCTTTGTGATAGGGAAAATGAATCTATGTGGCTTTAGCTCATTTGAGTTCCCACAAAAAGGGGGATTCATTGCCCCTCCAGAGATCTATACAGTAGTCAGATACTTCCTTTTGTCTTATTTATTTTAACATTTTTAAAAATTTATTTTTAATTACAGCTGACATACAATATTATGTTAGTATCAAGTGTATAGCATAGTGATTGAACATTTATATACTTTACAAAATGATCACCACAATAAGTCTAGTAACCATGTCACTGTACATAGTTATGATATTATTGACTCATTCCCTGTGTCATACAGTACATCCCTGAGACTTACTATATAACTGGAAGTTTGTGTTTCTTAATCCCCTTCCCACCTAACCCTGTCATCTTGAAATAGACAGAGATTGCACATTTATTCCTGGACCCTCATCAGTTTTCATGTGTAGTTCTGCCTTCCTGTGCTTACACAGTGCTCAGCAGTGGGGCCTACCTCTGTGTAAGAGGAACATTTTCAAAGAAAGAGAGCCCCCCAAAATACTTTGGTGATTGGAATGAGGAGCAAAGTAAACCTTTCACTTCTGGCCTATGTCAGGCTGATTCATAATACTCTTCACATGTTCTCTGTGTCAGATGCTGGTTCCATTCCAGGATACGCCTGTGGAAGTAGAACAGAACACAGAGCTGCCCGACTACCTGCCTGAGGATGAGAGCCCCACAAAGGAGCAGGACAAAGCAGTGTCCCGGGTTGGCTCCCACCCAGAGGGTGGGGCTAGCTGGCTGAGCACAGCTGCAAACTTTTTGTCGAGATCATTTTACTGGTGACTTCAATTTGGGGCTCGAGGACTGTGTGAACAAACAGGGGGCCAGTTTTCCAATGTTGTGGTTAACTGTCAAGTGCAATTTGCAATAAGTTATCATGAAAAGTTTTTAGATTACATGATTGTGTATGCTGCATTTTACATTTTATTGGACATTTTGCCCCACTAAGTGGTAAAAAGGACAGAAGGCTGCAGGTGGAGTTGCTTTGTTGATGCAGGTATTATGGTTTTGGTTTTCTTTGTTTAATTGCCTCACTTTTTAAAAAACATGGGTCCATTGGTAAACCAAACACATATGTGCAGCTTTACATTTTATTTTACATGAAGCACGTGATTAGGAAAACACATTTTCTCCTCAAGCCTCAGGACCTATCTGAAGAGAAGTTTTTTTTTTTTTTTTTTAAGCTCGAGTTGTGCATGAATTACTGAACATTTTTCTCGGCTTTTCTTCATGAAAGATACTTGCTTTGGTCCTCCTCACTGAAAGTTGAAAACATTTCTCATTATCCCCCTTTTGTGCCTTTTTTTATTTTGCCAACCATGTTTATAGAAAAGACATTACTAATGACATTTTGTGAATTAAAATATATTCATTTGAATGTAGCAGTCCCCTAAAAATACAACTCTACAAAAAATTTGCAATCTTATATGTTATCAGTAAGATTAACACAAAATCATTCAAGAAGAAGGAAATATATATATCAGTGAAGTGCTATTGAGACTGTTTGAATGTGACCAAATGTGGTTCCTGTTGACTGCTGCTCAGTTTGGTTGATATCAGCTCTTGTGAATTATGTCCACCATAATATTGGGAGCAACTGTAAATGGTCTCTAGGCCTTACTTTGTGACTATATACTCT